TAGACAAAATAATGATATCAAGGATCCTGGGATGAGGAGATTGTCCTGGATTGTCCAGGCTGGACCATGCATCCAACACCAACCATGAGGGCAGAAAGAGGAGTGATGTGACCACACTAAAACATGCATATGGTCACCAGAAGCTGGAAGAGGCAAAAATCAGATTCTCCCCACTCCCAGAAGCTCAAAAAGGTATGTGATTCTATTGAATAAAAAACGTCCAATTTCCAGAACTATGAAAGAATAAACTCTGCTGTTTTAAACCATTCAGTTTGCAGCAATTTATGATGGCAGTATACTAGTAAACTAATAAAGGCTTCCTAAGGAAAGAGAGGAAAAAAACACTCAAGGGGGAAAAAAATCCCACAATCTGCCTTTTTAAACTCTCCAAAATAATATCTGACTTTTTGCTGATAAAACCACAGTTGCAGTTGTATTGTCTAAATTGTACATATGTTATAAATCAGTTGTGTACCTGCTCCAAAGAGCAGGTAGATGGATCCATCTAGGCTTTCTGTTATCTCATGGGAAGAAAGTGTCCCTAAAGCATCATAGTGGACATGCGTAACCTCACTCCAACAGGTTGTGTTGAGTCACTTGTGACTCATAGCAACCCTACATACAACAGCGCTCTGAACCCTGCTCTATCTTGAGCCAACCTTATTGTTTCTGACACATCTACCCTCATGACCTCAGTCACTGAGTCAGTCCATCTCATCCAGGGTCTTCATCTCCTGCGCTGTCCCTCCACTCTTCCAAGTATGGTGTCCCTCTTCAACAGAGTAGCTGTCAATATCTAGTCTCAAATCTGAAGGGAGTGCTCAACAGATGGCAAACACCATGCTAAGCATCAAAACTAGAGGCAATTTGAAATTCCACATTGTGAATAGTGTTGTTGTCCGGTGCCACAGAGTCAAATCTGACTATTAGAAATCAATGAACAATGGATCCGAACCCTGCCCTATCTCATGCCATCCCTACTGTTACAGTCACTGTCAGTCCCTGTCACTGAGGCTCTTCTTCTCTTTTGCTGACCCTCCTCCACTTCACCAAGCATGATGTCTTTTTCCAAGAACTGGTCCCTTCTGAAAACATGCCCCAAATATATGCGATGAAGCTTTGCTATCCTCGCCTCTAAGGAGCACCCTGGCTGTACTTTCATGTTACCCATCTATTATTTCTACACTAGTTCCCCTGGACTTTCATGCTGCCCCAGACTCTGGGATTGCAAAAAAGGAAAGAACGGAAAACAAAAGCTACATGCCAAACCCCTCCACAATAAACTGATAGTATAGGACTGTTCAGCTTTGAGAAGCTGTGTGGACGTGAAGGTACGTGGCCTTCATGAAGAGGTGACGTCATGGTGGAATATGGAACAGAATGACCACATATGTCACCCATGCATGGTGGAGAGTGTATCAATGGTATAAATGAGGCCTGGGATAGGAAAGATCAACTAGAGAAGACAACAGTAGCCAGGATGCTGCCATTAAAAGCTCACGACATGCACTCCTGATAGCTCTGGTGGCGCAGTCTATACGGAGCTGTGTTACTAGCCCAAAGGCTGTCACCTCTCCGGTGGTTCAAATCCACCAAAAGCTCTGAGTAGAAAAGTTGGGCACTCTTCTCCCATGTGATTTACAGCCGTGTTCCAATTTGATGACAATGAGTGTTTGAGATGGGAAGGAATTTAAGAGACAGTAACTAAACACATCCCCGTGCTAATGAGCTGATTCCATGAATGATTCTACAGGACAGAAGAGCAGAACTATCACCTCTTTGGAGCCGTTAGTGGGTTCAAACCACTGACCTTTTGGTTAGCAGTTGACTAGTTGGTTAGCTTAATAAATATGCATCATTGAGATTCTTTAGTGAGATGACAGAGTTGCTAAGATTCTGTCCCAGAAGCTGAGCAGCACAGGCCCAGACTCTATAACCCTTCTCATAGGACACAGGACACAAGATTTACAGGAAAATGCTGGGAGAAAACTAAATGCACTCTCTGTATAATTTTCTGAATTGTCAAAACTGACTAGCAATAAATAAATCAGAACATAACAATTTTTCCTTTTTCTCCCCTCTTGAGGTTGGCATTAAGGCTACAGAGAGTACAGTTCACTTGTTTACAAACCTGATTAAAATCATAGTGACCTTATTTGGGAAGCACAGAGACTTCTAGCCTCTAGAACCATGAAAGCAGAGGAGGACCAAATAATATTTGGAATGGAAATGGTAAGAATTGTATCTTTTCCTAAATTCACAAATTCACTGTACTCTCCTGCTTTTTCTCCATTGACTGTAGCAAATCAGCACTTTAGCCCAGCACAGACTTTCATCGGCTGAGCTGATGTCACAATGTGGACAAGTACACCTTGTGAAATAAAATGAAGTCCCTTTTTTTCCTGGGGAAGGTCACCCACTATAGAGGGTTATTCTTAAGTTAAACTGTAGCATAAAAGGAAAGAAACTCATCAAGGCTTTCAGGGCTGAACAGAGTCTATCTTTTGCTTGTAGAGGCTGATTCTTTTTTTCTCTATTTGCAAAAGGTCTTGTAAACTGCTTTGCTGACTTGCTCTCCAGAGAAGTATGCGTGACCAAGTCAAGTCCTTGACTGCTACAGCAAGTAGCAACCCGACTGGTGGCTGAGTCAGGATGAATGAGTCCCCTCCAGGCCCTCTGTCAGTCCCTCATGATGAATGGGTCCCCTCCAGGCCCTCTGTCAGTCCTGCCTGGTGTGCTCACAGTCAAGGAGTGACTACAAAATCAGATTTTGTATTTTGAAGATTTCAAGTGTAAGACTAGAACTTTCTTAGATAAGAAAGAAGGGTCTTTCAAAACTAGAAAGCCTCTTATATGATAGGCAGTTTAGATTACCTGCCGTAATGCCAGGGGGCTCGTGTGGCTTAATGGTAAGGAATTGCTCTGTTGAGGGAGAAAGAGGCAGTCTCCTCCTATGGGATTTACAGGTTCTGAAAATCCCCTGCGAGGTCAGGGAAGTCAGGTTTCAACCCAAGAGCACACAATAGCAACAACAAAAGCAAACACTGTATGTACAACACTACTCATAAAATAAACCCCCAAAAGCAACCTTCTGCACCACCAGCACATACTCATTCAGGATTTAGATCTACATATTAGGTCACATTCAAATTTAAAAACAAAAAGAACATACTTTTATCTTCCGAAACTTCTTAGGAGCCAAGACCAAGAACCTTCATTATATTGTCAGCAAAATGACTAAATACTACAGCTGATATAATGCTAAAAGGAATATTATATGTCCTAAAGTTATACAAGTGTTCAGGTCTTTCGTTCATAGGGCCACTATGAGTCATCTGAGACTTGACGGCACTTAACAACAACGTTTTGAAAGGGAAATGCATTGATCACATGTCAAATTTTTAAAAAATGATAAAGATAAAGGCATGCACACAGAAAGATATACATAAATGGGAAAAATCTTTGCGGCAACACACACTGTGTTATATGCTTTAGGCCATGTGGCTATCTGCCTAAATGAGAGTTACAAGTCATTTTGGTTTAACAGAGAAGACAGTTGCTAGAGTTTGCAATTTCCCCCCCCCTTCTCTAATTTAGTCTATAATGAAAACACATGACATCCAGAATGAAGATTACAGATCATTTATCTCCTTTGATCCGTTTTTGCAGTAACTTGCAATGTAAGCTGGGAAGCGACTTGCCTATAGAGGTAACAGGTTTCTCAACTTTTTCTAGTTTGCTAGTGTTAAACTGTTCAGCTACATAAAACTCTGCCTGAATGAAGAACACAAATGAAATCTCCACTCCCGACTCTCACACACATTATGAATATCTCTTTTCTTTGGAAGGGAAATACTCCTTAATTTCAAATGTCCCAAATGAAAGAACTATTAGCCTTTCAAATATTTTTACAAAGAAAAGCAACTCACCTATTTGAAGGGTATCTCCTTTGCACGTGATTCTGGAAGGAAGAACTTCATAAACCTATACTGAGTGTGGGTGGTTGGTTTTTTGGTTTGTTTTCAACGCTTCATTATTTCACCAAGGACAAAATCCGTCTCAGGTGAAAGCTAGAAGTAAAAAGACTTTCCATCCACTCAAAAGGAGAGGCCAGTGCTCTATTCTCAAAGTTCTGGAGCCTCATCACAAATGCCACCAGCTGCTCCCGCTGCTGTTTTTCAGCGACAGTGACCTCCGACACCTTTTCTTCAAGGCTGCAATGCACTTAATGGTTTGCCGGCACACAGAACGCGTCACGTGCCAAGCCAACACCTCAAAGAGGGTGGGGAAGCTTTGCAACCAGGAAGAGGTGCAGAAAATATTGAGCAGTCAGCTCAATTGCAGGCCAGCAAGCCTTGCTTGTTTTTCACAAAGCAATCTAGCAACATAATGAAACAAGATGAACTGATTCAAAACAGTTCTGAACTGGGAACCTCCTGGAGCTATGCTTCAAATGCTGACAAACTTCCTTTTCACCTTAGGGTTAACTTCGAGGCACCCATGTTGTAATAGTTGCCCTCAATGTTTCTGGAGGTGCTGATAATTTTTTGCTCTTCTGTTTGAGAATCCAATTATTCTTTTGCTCCTCTCATATTTACTCTAGTTTAATGTCCACATAAAGATATTAGTTAGTCTTCACATTTTCTCTTTTACCACGGACATAAATTTCTCCGCCCCATGGTTTTGATTTAAATCCATCTACCTGGACCAGCCTCCCAGTTTGGTAAAGAAACTGTTAATAACTATTTCCCAATGTTTAACCCATTGTTCACCAAACGCCCCTCCTGGAACCTACCTCTGTAGTTCTTTAGAAGTTGAGTTTCAGGTAAGACAAGTTTCAACTTCACAAGGACTTGGTCACTGTGTAAACTAGGTTCTGATTTTTCCGTTCCTATCGGAAGTTAAATTCTAAGAACAAACATTAAACTTTCTGAGCACAAGGCAGGCTGCTGATGCTTTGTAACTAACTAGCTGTCACATGGTTGTTGAGTCAAGCTCACCTTTTCTGCGGGAGGGTTGGGAGCTTTAAGGACTCCTTTCCAGATTTTCTGAATGAGAACAGGGAAGCAAAGGAAGATCTGAAGTTCAGCCGAGAAGAAAAGGATGCTGGGGCTTTGGGGTTGGGTACATTTTTAGCTCTTGATGTTTGTAAATCCACAGGCTCTAAAAGAGAAATCATAAGCATTGTGCATCATTATATTTTTTTCCTAGGTCCTTCACTTATGCTCCCCTCTGTCCACCTGTCCTATCTAGAAAGTTAGCAGGCATCTCCACCTGAAGAGCTCAGAAACCAAGGAGGGTGGAGGTTGCATCTCCAGCAGATTGGTGCTACAATGGCTCATCAGAGCTAGAGAAAAGTCTCACAGATGGTAGTGAGAACCTGCGTTGTGCACGGAGGGACACAATTGTGAGGGAGGGCCCTCCATCATACCAGCTGTGTCAATCATTCTCAACACCTGTCCCTCATGCCCCTCCAAAATTCAGGTGGACCTTACCCACCTTGTCCTGCAGAAGTTTTAAATCTTGATACTTTAAAGCCACGGTGATAGGTACCAAGGAAAGTAAAGGGGAGAAACCAATTTACTATTTCTTAGTTCCTTCCCTGGAGAGTACTGGTGGCCTAGCAGCAAGAAGCTGCACTGCAATACCGAAGCTAAACAGTTGGAATCCATCAGCTGCTCCGTGGGAGGATGGCCAATCTCTTGTGCAATTATTGCCTCTGAAAACCCACTGGAGTCAGCTGTGGGTCAGTTCCAACTCAATGGTACACAACAACAACAGCAACAATCCCTTCCCTAAACTATCTCTGTTTACATGGATTTATGTTCGTGTAGTGAGCCTTAATGGCATGATGGTTAAGTGCTTGTCGGTGAAATGAAAGATTGATGGAACAAGTCTAACCTAGTGGATGTTTCCATGGAGAAAGATCTGGTGATGGGCTTCCATATAGACTACAGCCAAGGGAAGCCCACGCTGGAGTTCTCTGTCACATGAGGGACACTATGAGTCAGAATCAATTTATCAGCTCGACAGCTCTTGACAACAATGACAATTTATATACACATATAACTTGTTCTCACTCATAGAAAACTCTCTTTCTCCATATATATATATATAAACTTAACTGCCTTAGAGTCAAAACTAACTCATAGCTGACCTTCCAGCAAGTTTTTAGTGGCTATAAATCACACAGGTGGAGACTGCTCATCTTTATATATATGTACATATATAAAATATGTATGTATAGTTATAAAATCTACATTTCATATAGATTTTAAAATCTGTATTTTTATTTCCAGACTTTTCATATGCTTCATATATATTGCTATATATGTACTTAAACATAGGATTTGTTTTCAGTACTGTAGCCCACAATATGGATTGAGGCTCAATGTCAAGAAGACAAAGATTCTCACCACTGGACCAATTGGCAGCATCAGGATGGATGGTGAAGAGATTGAGATTGTACACAGCTTTAGTTTGCTTGGCTCCACAGTCAACAGTCTTGGAACCAGCAGCCAGGAAATTAAAACGCGCATTGCCATGGGAAAGTCTGCTGTTAGGGACCTCTCCAAAGTACTGAAGAGCAATGGTGTCTCTCTGGAGACTAAGGTGTGTCTGATACAGGCCATGGTCTTTGCAATCACTTGTTATGCATCAGAGAGTTGGACAATGACCAAGGAGGATAGAAGGAGAATTGATGCTTTTGAGCTGTGGTGCTAGAGAAGAGTATTGAGAATACCATGGACTGCTAGGAAAACAAACAGATTTGTCCTGGAAAGGGATAAACCGGGTGGCTCCTTGGAGGCAAGGATTCTGAGGCTCTGTCTAACATACTTTGGACATGTTGTGAGGAGAGACCGGTCCTTGGAGAAGGACATCATGCTTGGGAGGGTGGAGGGACAGTGCAGGAGGGGAAGGCCCTCTATGAGGTAGATTGATTCAGTGACTGGGATAATCGGGATGGGAGCGTCAGAGACAGTGCAATTGGCACAGGACAGAGCAGAGTTTAGGGCTGTTGTACATAGGGTTGCTATGAGTCGCAAGTGACTCGACAGCACATAACAACAACAACATGTATTTAAAAATTCCAAGGCAACATCAACAAATATAAAATTCATAATACTGTAATATGCTTATAAACTCTAAGTGTATAAATATTAGAAGGTAATTTAAGGTAAGGGAAAAGTCACCATGACATTTATGAGATTGTTGTTGTTGTTGATTGTCTTCGAGTCAAGCACGACTCATATCAACCCTATAAACAAAAGGCCTGAAGCCCCTCTACAACTATTGACATTTATCAAAGTTTAGAGTTTCCGGAGGCATGCTATTTTGGAAGTGGATGCCACTCCTGATTAGTTAAAAAAAAAAAAATTCAAACTCTGAGTGTTTTTTAAATGATGTTGTTATATGCAGTCAAGTTGGAACCAACTCATAGCTGACTCTCCTGTGGGTTTTCAGAGGGAGTAAATTGTATGAGAGATCATCCAACTTTCTCCCACGGAGCAGCTATTGGCTCCAAACCTTGTGCCTTTGGGTTGACAGTGGAGCTCCTTACCATTAGGCCACCAAAAGCATGTTTATGTTGCGAGTTACACAATATTGCCCATTTATAATGTTACTGATGCTAGTATTATATTGTTACTTATGCTAGTAATAGAAACAAAATCAGTCAAAGTATCAGTAAATGGACACTTATAACCCAAACACATGTGGTTTGAATCGACCAGCTTCTCTGCAGGACAATTTACAGTCTCTGATAACCTGCTGAAGGGTCAGGTATGAGTCAGTTCTCACTCCACAACACATAGCATCAAGTAACAGTGGCATTTTATAATTTCTGATGCACTCACTTTAATCTTACAATAATTCTGTGAGAGCAAGTTTTAGTATCTTAATTTTGAGATGGATAAAAGAAATGCTTGATGAAGGTAACTGGCATGCTGAGAGCCACACAGGAAATCCAGAAAAGGTCCTGAATAGAACTCAGGTGGTACTTAGTTACCGAAGGACCAGAAAGGCAGAGGATCCTCCTCTGACCCTCCCAGCCTTCCTCCTCCACTTCCTCTTCTTCTACATCCTCTTCCTCCCCTCTGATTCCTTCATCATCATCCCATAGTGGCTTAGTCCACAGGCAGTGTGTTGCTAACCAAAGGGGCACATCTCTCTGGTGGCTCATAGCCACCAGCAGCTCCCAGGGAGAAGGATGGACAGTCTTCTCCTGTGTGATTTACAGCCTTAGGAACCCAGTGGATGGTCAACGAGGAGTTTCGGTGGGGTGGCAATGAGTTCTATTTTTTTGTGTGTTGTTTATAGGGTTGCTAAGAGTCACCTACGACTCGACGGCACTTAACAACAACAACAACAAAAACAGCTTAGGATTTTATATATACACAGTTTTAAGTAATTTTCACAAAATATGAGGTGGACATTATCTTCCTCATTTAAAGATGAGAAAATGGAGCATTTTTGTAAACCGTATGAATAGAGAAAATCATTGGGTGGGGATGAGGGCTAGGGCCTTTTTAAACATGAATGTCTAGGTTCCTAACTACTGCACCATAGTGCCTGTTTAGAAAAAAACACACTCTGTTTGCTACAGTAAAATATAATATTTCCTCACCATTTTTTGCCATCCCCCTCTGGAGTCTGTAAGTCAGTGGTGGTTTTAACATTTGGCTGACATCTGTTTCATTGCAAAACTTTTTCCTTTGAATTTCTTCAAACCATTCGCCAGTCACTCCTTGAAGCCATCTGATATCTCTCTTTGTCTTCTGAAGTTTGCTGAAATAAAATAAAAATATCAATTCATCCTTTAAAGTCTTGGCATTTTTATTGCATCTAGTGTAACTTACATGATAAATCTTACCTGATGGTGGAACAAGTTTTACATCCAGAAATAAAGTAAGTGGATCTATTGCAAACTTTCACTCCAATGACAATTTTTTTAAAAAATGGAAAAAATTCATTAGCTCTTGTGAACATTTCCTTTCACCACTGTGTAGAAATTTTTGCTGTATTCAAAACAACAAAAACGTTTTTACCAGGAGTAAAAATCATCAAGTCAGTGAGGACGCGCAAGGCGGTGCAACAAGCTCAAACCTGACCTGATAGTGCAGCTGAACGACAGATGCTTTAATGACATGTAGAAACCGGAATAGTCTAGCTCTGGTGAGTCATTCATTCATTAATCAAGTACATGTTGCTTGAGCAAGGCCTGGGCAGGCACTGGAGTCACATCAGTTAATCTGACAGATAGATAGGGTCCTTACTATCCGGGAACTGGCCAGCAATCAAAGTTAGCATGCAGAAAACTGTGGAGCATAACGGTCTGTGATAATGGACTTTGTGCTGAAAACAAAAGATCCTGGACAAGCATCAGGCCAACGCTCAGGTAGAAAGTGACAGTGTGGTTTGATCTGGATCCCAGAGACCAACTAACAGACAAATGTGCTTGTTCCATGTCTTCTGACTGCAGCTTCTGAACCTTTAAATGCTCTGTTGTGAGTTGAAATAACAACACACACACACACACACACACACACACACACACACACACCCCCATTAGGCTAATCAGGATCAACTTGATTTTACTGGAATTTGACCTCTCACTCCCTCCCTCTGAGACAAGCAAGGCTGTCAGATGCTCTCCTCCCGCCAACACAGGCAGGCATACAGACCAAGACGGAAAGAAGCTCAGAAAAGCTAACAGGACACCTGGAGGTGCATAATGTCTCAGAGCGAAAAGTTCCAAGATGAAACTGCTGAACCAGAATACAGCCATCCTCAAAATATCTCAACAATCCAAGGCCATGAGAACAAATATCCAACCATCCCCACTGCTTGGGGCTGATGCTGCCTTGAGAGCTTCAGCCCGCTTTCACTTAGGTGAATATTAAAGAAAAGCCTGTTCACTGTGCTCTCCGCTAGTGCCGCTTCTGAACTCTGTAGTGAGTTTGAACCTTACAAGATCCCTTTGCTGTCTTTGAGGAGGACCCTGGAACTGTTTGGAAATGTTGCTGTTAGCCAGTGAGTCAGACCCATAGCTGACACTCCAATGGCTTTCTAGAGACAGGAAATCACACAGGAGGAGATTGAGCATCCTTCTCCTAGTAGATTCGAACCTTGTGCCATTGGGATTGCTGCACAGCTTCTTAACCACTAGGCCACCAGGGATCAATGCAGAGAGCAACCTCCTCAGGCCCAGGGTAAAGGATCAGATAGGGGAATTTAATAAACAGGATGACCACACTCCACATCCTGACAGGGTTCCACATCAGCCGTTGCTGCATTAACACTGGAAAAGTTAGGCTTGTTGGTGGATCCCAGGATGGGGAAATTCTGCTGTTTGGGGAAGTACTTCCAGTGACTCAGCAGCTGCTGCCCTTTATTCAGGGTCTGCTGAGAAGGACAAGTGTTAGGGACTTTGTCTACTAAGAACGTCAACAGGGATTCTGCAAAGTGGCAAATCTGGGGTTAAAGGTAATGAATGGAGATGGATGCAACACAGGTCCTGCTTGGGGCTATGATACTTCCATTTCATAAAATAATCGAGAAGGAAGGCAGAGGCCATCCTGCCCAGACTTGCATTTTGACACACATTAGGCAGCAATCATTGTAATCCATGAAAAGAAATTGTATCCAACTGAAAACCAACCTCACGGAGTAGGTTCTGATACCTCGTGGCCTTACAGGACAGATCTGTACTGCCTCCATTGGCTGCACAACTTTATGGATGCAATCTGCCACATACTTCTCTTGTGGAGCGTTTGGGGGGTTTGAACCACTAACCTTTTGGGTAGTGTCCAAGTACTTTCACCACAACACCACCAGCAGTGCTCTCAATTACTAACCAAAAGGTCAAGAGTTTGAACACACCAGTCACTCCACCGGAGAAAGAAGAGGCATTCTACTTGTGTAACGATCACAGCCTTTGAAACCCTTCAGGGCAGTTCTACTCTGTCCTGTAGGGTCACCAGGAGTCAGAAGCAGCTCATTGGCAATGAGTTTGGCTTGATGCTCAATGTAAGACTGACTCAGCCTTGAAATGCACAGTTTTCTTAAGCCCACCTCAAGCACCCTTCCACTCTTGCACACATATCCATCACTGTCTATTTCTTTTTTCAATTTCTGGCCAGGATAGTCAGAAATCTGCATTTCCCATGAACCCTCACAGTCTTTGAATTCTCTATTTTAAGAAAATATATTTAAAGATATGTATTGCTATATGTTGGTGTTGTTTGTTGTTAGAGTTCATAGAGTTTCCAGAGGCAAGCCATTTCGGAAGTGGATGCCACTCCTGCTTCCAGGTTTGTTTTAGTTGGGAAGCTCCAGCCAACACTGGCCACCATAGGTAACCATTACCATGTTTGGCACATCAGTGTCACAGTGTTTAGCATCACAGCAACCACGAGTTACCTTTGTACAGCAATGCACAGACCAGTGCTATATCACCTAGAAGAATGTTTGACAGAAAAACAATATGAACCTGGCCTGAGGGCCGCAGATTAAAATCACCCACCTTCAGGCTGGTAGCATAATTTTTTGTCCACTAGGCCAACGTAGCTCTCTCTATGTCGTCGCCGTTATTGTCGTTCAGTGCCATCGAGAAGTAGATGACTCATAGTGACCCTATGAATGAAAGGCCTGAGCACTATTCATAGAGTTTTTGTAGGCGAGCCATTTCGGAAGTGGATGCCACACCTGCTTCCAGGCTTGTTTTAATCAGGAAGCTCCAGCAAACACTGTCCACCATGGGTAACCATTATCACATTTGGTACATCCGTGTCACAGTGTTATCTATTTAAAAAAAATAATCTTTACCCCAAATATACTGATTAACTGAATATTGTGCAGTTGCTGAAAATAATTTGAGGCAATGTAGAACACTGAGGGAAATGTGAATGTCAAACACAAAGCAGGAAAAGTGAAATGCTGCAATTTATCTATGATGACGTGTTGGTGGTTTGGCGCTGTGGAGCCAGATCTGGCTTATAATACTCCTTGGTACCAACAGAATGAAATGCTGTCCCCTCCTCACCACTCTGCTTCACTTAGCCCATTGTTGCAGTACTGCGTCAGTCCATCTTACTGGAAGGTCCTTTTTTTTTCTCCTCCATGCTGGCCCTCTACCAAAAACAATGTCTTTCTCCAGGGACCGACTCCACCTAGAAACAAGCCCAAAGTTGCTCTTCCTTCAAAACTTTGCAGCCTTGGAAATGCAACAGAGGGTTACTATGAGTCAGGAGCAACTGGATGGCAGTGAGTTTGTTTTTAGCTATGATTATGTTGTTGTTGTTCAGCACCGTCGAGTTGTAGACAACTCATGAGGACCCTATGAACAAAAGACCTGAACACTTGTATAACTTTCATTGTTTCTTCACGTTTATGGAGTTTCTAGAGGCAAGGTGTTTCAAAAGTGGATGCCACTCCTGCTTCTAAGCTTGTTTTAATCAGGGAGCTCCACCAAACACTGTCCACTATGGGTAACCATTATTGAATTTGATACATCAGTGTCACAGTGTACAGCAAGTGGACACACCAGTGCTATACCACTTAGAAGAATGTTTGACCAAAAACAATTTTAACCAGTCCCGAGGGCCACAGATTAAAAACACCCATCTTTGGCTTGGTAGCGTCACTTTTTATCCACTAGGACAATTGAGCTCTCTCTATGATTATGTTGTTGTTGTTGTTATGTGCTGTTGAGTCGCTTGCGACTCATAGCGACCCTATGTACAACAGCCCTAAACTCTGCTCTGTCCTGTGCCAATCGCACTGTCTCTGACACTCCCATCCTGATTACCCCAGTCATTGAATCAATCCACCTCATAGAGGATCTTCCCCTCCTACACTGTCCCTCCACCCTCCCAAGCATGATATCCTTCTCCAAGGACTGGTCTCTCCTTACAACATGTCCAAAGTATATTAGACGGAACCTCAGAATCCTTGCCTCCAAGGAGCCACCCAGTTGAACCCTCTCCAGGATGAATCTGTTTGTTTTCCTAGCAGTCCATGGTACTCTCAATACTCTTCTCCAGCAACACAGCTCGAAGACATCAATTCTCCTTCTATCCTCCCTAGTCATTGTCCAACTCCCTGATGCATAACAAGTGATAGCAAAGACCATGGCCTGTAATAGATGCACCTTAGTCTTCAGAGTGACACCATTGCTCTTCAGTACTTTGGAGAGGTCCCTAACAGCAGACTTTCCCATGGCAACATGTCTTTTAATTTCCTGGCTACTGGTGCCAAGAGTGTTGACTGTGGAGCCAAGCAAACTAAAGCTGTGAACAATCTCAGTCTCTTCACCATCAATCCTGATGCTGCCAATTGGTCCAGTGGTGAGAATCTTTGTCTTCTTGACATTGAGCCTCAATCTATATTCACTATAGGTATAGAAAAAATGAGGAAGCTTTTGGAAACTCCAGAGGGAGGGGAAGGAAAACATTTGACCTTTGAGAGCAGAATAATTATGGTTTTCATTTTTTATATTTATTCAACTAAGTACAGTTCTTTTTCTTTTGTTTAATTGTGAATTTTCACTTATATCATCATTTTCCAATTGTTTTGAGATAGAAGAGAATATTTTTCTTTTTCATATCCCCTGCACAAACTTTCCCCCCCCCCTTTTGGTATGCTTTTTCCATGTCTTACATGGTTATAGTAAGATTTTATCAACAAAAATTGTGTCAAAACTTGAAATACAGTGGTGAGCAGAAGAGATACAGTTCCTGCTTTAAAGGGTCTTACAGTTTCATGGGAAAGATAAGCATGAATTCAAT